AAGTCAATACCATGAAGAAGTAGATTCCAAATATTACATAATGATGCTCCCCTTCTGGTATCATTCATGGAGTCAGGAAGACACTTAGCTAGCTGTATTACATGGCATACCACTCACTGTCTCAACCTCAGTTTCCTCATCTGTAAAAAGGGGGTAAATAATAGTACCTACCTCACATTATTGTGAGATTGTTGTGAGAATCAAATGAGATAACATGTGTAAAGTACTTTGCGAAACTTAAAGTGCCATATAAATGCCAACTATTATTGCTATCATCATTATTTTGTCTTTATAACAAATACAGCAGAGAGTGGCATTTTGTACAACACAGAAATGTAAGGAATAGTTAAAATGTTTATCCCTCTGTTGATAAACCACAGAACCTTTCATTCACTCATAGCCTAAACAATAAGATTTTTGTGTTCAAAAGCTAACAATATTCTTGTTCAGAATACAGTAAGAGCAGATGCATTATATTTTTCAATGGAAAGTGTTTTCTTAATCCATTCATAATTAGAAACACCTAGGTCTTTGAAATAAAATTAGAATTGCTTCTGAATGAAGATAAGTAGAATGATTAATTAAATTTAAAAAGTTTTGCACAAGCAAAGAAAGCCAATGTAACCAAGATTAGAAGGGAAGCAGAAAGTTGGGAAACAATTTTTACAGCCAATGTCTCTGATAAAGGCCTCATTTCCAAAATATATAGAGAACTGAGTCATATCTACAAGATTACCAGTCATTCCCCAGTTGATAAATACTCAAAGGATATAAACAAGCAGTTTTCAGAGCTCTTAAAAATTAAAGCTATCTGTAGTCATATGAAAAAATGCTCTAAATCACTATTGATTAGAGAAATGCAAATCAAAACAATTCTGAGGTGTACCATATCACACCTAGCAGATTGACCAGCATGACCAAACAGGAAAATGATAAATGTTGGAGAAGATGTGGGGAAAATGAAATATTAATGCATTGTTGGCGAAGTTGTGAATTGATCCAACCATTCTGGAGAATAATTTGGAACTATGGCCAAAGGGCTATAAAATTGTGCATACCCTTTGATCCAGCAATACCACTTTTAGGTCTCGACCCCAAAGAGATGATAAAAATGGTGAAAGGACCCATATGTACAAAAATATTTGGTGGCAAAGAATTGGAAATTGAGGGATGCCCATCAATTGGGGAATGGCTGAACAAGTTGTAGTCTATGAATGTAGTGGAATACTATTGTGTTATAAGAAATGATGAGCAGGCAGACTTCAGAAAAACCTGGAAAGACTTGTATGGTCTGATGCTGAGTGAAGTGAGCAAACCAGGAGAATGTTTGTACACAGTAACAGCCATGTTGTGCGATGACTAATATTCATAGACTTAGCTCTTCTCAACAATGCAAGGATCTAAGACAGTTCCAAAAGACTAGTGATGGAAAATGCTGTCCACATGCAGAGAAGGAACTATGGAGTCTGAATGCAGATTGAAGCATACTAATCCTTTTTTTTTTTTTCTTCTTTCTTGTGCTTTCTTCTTTGGTTCTAATTCTTTGCAACATGACTGATGTGGAAATATGTTTAATATGATTGTATATGTATGACCTGTATCAGGTTGCATGCCATCTTGTGGGGGAGGAGGAGGGGAAAAAATTTAAAACTTAAAATCTTATAAAAGCAAATGTTGAAAAAAAAAAGTAAATATTACAGCTAGCCCCAGCAAAATAAATAAATAGTTGGCTGTTTAGTTGACTGTCCATTTTGATCTACTTTTCTGTTTAATTGTTTTTTAAATAAGTACAAATAGTTTTTGATGATTTCTGCTTTTGTAATACCATTTGAAGTCTAGAATGCTATTTTCACTTTTATTCCTACCCCCCCATTTCCTTTGAGATTATAAACCTTTTTTCCTACCAAATGAAATTTGTTATTATTTTACTAGGTCTACAAAGTATCCTCTCTGTAGTTTGATAAATTAGAATTGAATTTATAAATTAATTTAGGTACTATCATTCCCATGTACACCAGAATATTTATAGCAACACTTTTTGTGATAGCTAAGTATTGGAAATAAAGTAGATGCTCATTGATTTGAGGAATGGTTAAACAAAATGTGGTACATGAAGGTAATGGAATATTACTGTTCTGTAAGAAAGGGCAAATGTGATGAATATAGAGAAGTATGGAAAGGTCTACGTGAACTGATCTAGAGCATAGTAAGCAGAGCCAAGGAAACAATATATAAAATGATTGTAACATTGTATACATTGTTGAAAGAACAATACTCCCCTCTCCCCCATCAAAAGTAAATGTAACAAAATTATAAAGAACAAGCACGACTCTACTGAAGAGATATGAGGGGATACGCCAACCAACTTCTTCGTGGAGGTGGAGATCCATAGGTGTTAGACATTGAATATTTTTTCCAGACTTTTTCTCCTTTCTCTTTTAAAAACAGTACTGTTTGTTATATGAGATGACTCTTTGGAAGGGGGAAATATCCTGGGGATAACTATGGTGGTATAGAAAACAAAAAAGAAATAATTTATTTTAAAAAATTTAGATGTCACAATTTATTATTCATATGGCCCAACCATGAGCCATGAACATCACTCCAGTTTTGTTATTTATCTTACAATTATATTTATAGATTTTAAGTATATCTTGGTAGATTGACTCACGTGTATTTTGTAAAATTCATAGTTATTTTAAATGTGATATCCCTGTTATTTACTCCAGGTTTTTTGCTGTTATCATTTTGATATACAGTTGATTTGTGGATTTCTTTTATGTTGTTTAATCTTAGACAAATCACTTAACTTCCTTGAACCTCAGTTTCATCATCTGTAAAATGAGGGAGTTGGACTAAAAGATGGCCATCTTAGGTGCCTACAACTCTAGATAATGATTCTGTGATTCTGTGACTTTAATGAAACTATTGACTGTGTCTGTTTCTTTGTTAATTCTTTCAGGTTTTTACTACTTTATTAGAAAAGCTCATTTCTCATTGCAAACAATGTTAGCTTTTAGTTTTAGAGATAGTCTGTTTATCATACATTTTTTCAAAGATCCTTCTGTACTTATACTTTGTAGTGTTTTTGATCACAAATGAATGTTGCATTTTGTCACAAGTTTTTTTCTGTATTTATTGATACAACAGTGGTTTTAGGTATTTTTGTAATATGATTATTTTGTTTTCCTAATGTTGAATCGTCCTTGCTATATAAATCCAACGATTACCATCTGCTGTTAGTCACATGATCTGGCAATAAACAAATTAAGACAATTCAGTTTAATTTAAAACCATTGAAAAGTTTAAATGATTATTTATTACCACCCTGGAGCTATTTTTAAGTAGTTTTTTTTTTTAAAGAACAAGCTTGTATTACATTTAATAAAATGAATGACATTGAATGACATTGAACAGTGTTACTGATTACTTCCATGCAAAAATTGTATAACTTGGAGCTTAAAATTAAAACTCTGTACTGAATTGCAGCAAGTAAGGAGATTACTTTGTTGACTGATGGTGATAATTTCAGACTTGTTCACATTGAGATTTGACTTCCTTTGTGTATATTGTATTAAATAATTTCCTTGTATTCACTGTCAGTTTTAGTCAGTACATCAGGTTTGTCTCATTTTTGTTGATTTTTGATTTGAGCTTTTGCTTCCATTGAAAAAAGTTGATGTATTTATATGAAGGAGTTGTACTTGAAAATACCCATTTATTTTGTCCATTGTTTCTCAGTCCCCCTGAAAAGATTTCACTGTCCCCACTCCCATCTTCCCCAAACTGGGCCATAGATTCTTTTTGTATGTCAGTAGTGGAACTGCCCTGGATATATCTAGGATAAACCCACTTATGTCGAGTTCTGTCATAAAGGAAAGAAACCTTTTTAGTAAGGAGGATTCAAGACAAATCTTTGTCATTTATGGTCATTCCACGTTCTGTGTTTCTTTTAGTATTTCTTTTTGGTATCTAGGTGGTACAGTGGCTAGAGTGTTGAACTTGGAGTCAGGAAGACCTGAATTCAAACCACGTCTCACACACTTTATAAGTCTGTGATTCTGGGCCAAGCTACTTATTATTCCTTAATCTCGGTTTCTTCCTTGATAAAAAGAGATAATATTAGGACCTACCTTATAGGGTTGTGAGGATACAATTAAATTTACAAGAGTAAAACACTTTCTAAACTTTAAAGCACTACATAAGTGCCAACTGCTGTTGTTGTTATCCAAAACAAAAATAATTTGTTTTGTTGTTCACTTATTAACCCAGACATTCAAAACTAAGATATTTAAATTTTGTACTGCATATACCAGTTATTGAGTCATCATTCTTTTTATTTCTATATTATATATTACAGTACATTTTAAAGGTGTTTATTTTGCTTTATAAATATCATAATTTTAAACTTATATGTGACTCAGGTTAGCTTCAAAGTACAGATGAGAAAATGTACCTCCCTTCCATCTTTGCAGAAGTTGGGAGTACCAGGAGTATGTGGAACATTGCATACGTCAGACTCAGTTGATGTGTTGGTTAATTTTACTGAATTGCTTCTTTCTCCCTCCCTATTTTTATTCTTGCTTACAGAGAATGAGGAAGGTATATATTCAGAAATGAAGATGATGAAAAAATTATCAAAAAATGGGAAAGAGGGAGAATAGGAATAATTAATTATCAAAAATGTTGTCTTGCTGTATCCTATACCAGATAGTTGGGTAAATACATTTAACCACAGTAGGGCAGGAGGTGTGTTCACTTCATAGGAAGTAAAATGAGTGAATTTGGAATCAGAAGTTCGATTTTGACTCCTGATCCTGCTAATTAATATCTGTGTTTCCTTGGAAAAATAATCATACTTTTCTGTATTTGTTTCTGCAGTTAGAAAATGAGTAGGTTGGAATGAATGACCACTTGAGATTGATGATCCTGTATCAGAAGTTAACTTAATATTTGAATAAATATTTAGGGTTTTAATACACTTTTTTCTTATTTTATAGGATCAGTTTGATAATCTAGACAAGCATACACAGTGGGGGATTGACTTCCTGGAAAGATATGCAAAATTTGTTAAAGAGAGGATAGAAATTGAACAGAACTATGCAAAACAGTTGAGGTAAGTTAATTTTCCATTTATCTATTAAAAATCTACAACCAATTAATAATAGTTATTTTTCATAGATGATTGGTAGATGTATAATCAGAGGAGTTATGTTCTTAATTGATATGATATTGTTTGTCACTTTTTGTGCCAGGAGTTTTTCCCAGATGCTTATGCTTACTACTAATATGAATGATCACTTCTCTTTTTTGTTCTTAAACCTGAAAGAATATTTTTACAAAATTTTGGAATTTGAGGAGATCTTAGAGGTCATCTAGTGCAACTCAAACCCAGACAGATATCCTTTCAGCATCGCTGATAAGTCAAGTTGGGTCATCCATCTTCTTCTTAAAGCAACTCCATTCTACTATGGGATAGCAGTGACTATTGAAAAGTTTTTCCTTATATCAATCTAAAATCTACTTTTTCAATTTCCGTCCTTTTTTCCAGTTTTTGTCCTCTGGGGCTAAGCAGAAAAAGTCTCTTTTTTTCCAAGACAGCCTTTCAGATACTTGAAAACTACTATCAGGTACCCTCTAAATCTTCTTTACTCCAAGCTAAGTATTTTCATTCAACTGATCTTTTGGCTTGATTTTCACTCCACTTACTGCCTGGCTGCCCCTTTCTGGGTGCACTCAGATTTACCAATATTCTTCCTGATAAAGTACTCTAGATAACGGCTTGTGCATAGTCCAGTGGACTATGACTCACCTTGTCTGGTCACTATTCCTTTGTTAATGCAATCTAAGGCCACATTAGCTTTTCTCTTTTCCTTTTTCCTTCCATATTATATTTCTGACTCATTAATATTGTATGCTACAGTGTCTGAATCTTTCCCCACAATCTATAGTTTGTGGAGAAAACACATCCTCTATTTATGAAGTTGATTTTTAAAATCTTAAGTTTAGGATTTCTTATTTATCTCCATTGCATTCCCTCTGCTTAGATTTGGCTCATTTTTCTAGCCTTTTGCCATCTTTCTGTGTCTTGACATTGTCATCCAGCGTATTCCCTATAATTATTTCTTCCCTGTCTTTCCTAGGCTGGTAGTATGCTCATTGATTCAGTCCTAAGACTGATCCGCATTGAAGGTTTGACGTGCTCTGTTTTCCCATCGGGGTCGATTTGACCTCGTTTAAGGTGGACTGGTGGCCTTCCGTGCCTGGAGGTACCATATTGGCACCGGTCACCCGATCGGCTTCATTACTGGTGCAGCTCAGAATTCCACAGCTGAGAACCTTCCACCGGCCTTACCCCGCTCAGCCGCAAGGATCCCACGTGTGGGCCGCCGTGTGTGCTGTGGACAAGTCTAAAGCGAACACTTTGGATGTCCCTGTCACCTTCTGAGTTACTCGTCACTGCTGCTCACTCTGTCCTAGTGAGGGAGGAACAGCTTTCTTTTGGAGAAGTACAAAACTGCGGTCCGCTGTGACAGGGAAACACAAGCCTATCTTCGGTTCCTCTTTAAGAGGTGGAATACTGAATGAGAACCTTTTATTTCATCGTGTTCATTTCTCATTTTAGAAACTGTCTCTCAGTGGATCATAGGATCGCAGGGGAGGTGATGATAGATTCAGCGCTGTAAGGAACATCAGAGGCCGTCTAGTGTAGCCCTCTCTTTTCACTGATGAGAAGACTCAGGTCTGGGGAGGTCAAATGACTTGTCCAAAATCACAGGGAATGGCAGGGCAGGGATTTGAAACGGATCCTTGGGCTGGAGCTACTGTACCATGCTGTCTCACCACAGTTTTAAAAATAAGTTTTTCTAGTCTTCTTGTTTTCAACAGTGTTATAAATGTTGAAGTCTGGTGGTGTAAACATATTTTCTTCTTTCCAGTTCTTGTCTACAGAGTTTTCCTTAATCTCTTTGGTTTTCCTTTCTTCTTGACCTATCGGCTATACAGAGGGAAAGGCAGGGATACAGAAGACAAATAACTTGTGGCTTTATTGCCATGTGCCTTTTTTTCCCTTATGACATTTGAGTGTCTTCTTACTTGCTGATGTAATTATTACAGCATTTGACTTACATTTGTTTGAGAGGCTATGGAAGGAATGCAGGACTTGGAAATTCAGCTCTTGTATCTTTTATCTTATTTTTTTTTATCTCTTCATGTAACCTCTGCAATGCCTTACACTTAAGAATGGTTTTCTTTAGAGTTGTTCACTCAGCATTTTCATTCCACTTCAAATAAATGTTCCAGGATGTATCACACAGGCAGTAACCTGATATGAATATTAAATATTCCTCCTGTCTTGACTTAAATAGGATCAAAGAATGAGCTTGTAAGTATTAAGAAATCAAATAAGCTCAAAGGAATGTATGTATGTATGTATTTTTGTATGTTATATTGTAATTATATAAAATAGACACTGTAGCTTCAAATGAGAAACAATTGAATGGCCTTACTTTGTTGAAAATAATATTTGTAAAGGCGGAACCAAGATGCTGGAGTAGTAGGAAAGAGGGTTCTGTGTCTCCCTTTCCACACACAACTCCTTCAAATCGATCTAGCAAATGCATTGGACTTGATCAGGAAATCCAAGAAAAAAATCACAGTGAATCATTTTTATAGCCTGCCTTGACATAGGGAATAGAGAGGTCAATGGACAATGGGGACAGGGTCTGTCCAGGAATGCTCTATGTAGAGCATCCTAGCACAGGATAAGAAGAGTTCCCAGATCCAACTTAGATGGCTCTAAACTTGTGTAGGGTGTAGTGACAGGTACGAATTGGCAACTTAGTCATTTTCTACTCAATTGAGGATCACAGATTCAGGGCTTACTGAGGAGGTGGCCTGTACCTAAAGGTGGTATTCCAGGATGAGGAGTGGTTATGGGCACTTGCCCGTGTCCTGAGCGAGGAGTAAGTTTAGAAGCCTGCAGTACTGATATGGTTGAGACTCTGGAGCAGAGCAGGTTTTCACTTCTAGCTTCCAGTCCAGTTTGAAGCCTGTTGAGGAATAACTAGGGCAGGAATTCCAGATGAAAGGGAAGCCTCAAATGTTATCACTCTGAACCAGTAGAACTTTCCAACTGGCTATACGTATGTGTGTGTGTTTAGTAATGACTGAGTCCAACATCAGTCTGCTGGAACTCCCGATGTACTGAGCTCGTAGGCTTAAACACAAAGCCAGGTGAGGAACTTGCAGAGCTCTGCAGGGTGAAGTTGCAGTTAGACTTCACTGTGGACAGACCACCTAGCATAAAGTCCAAAGTCAGGAAGTAGGCTGAAAGAATGAGCAAACAACAAAAGAAGCTGACCATAAAAGAGCTACTGTGGTAACAGGGAAGCTCAGGACTCAAACTCAGAAAAAAAAAATGACCCCCAAAACATCTACAAGCACAGCCTCAGAGAAACACAGCTTGGGCACAGATTCCTCTAGAATTCCTGTTAGAAATGAAGATTTATTTTTTTAATAAATGAAATGAGAGGCTGGAGGAAGAAATTTGAAAAGGGAATTAATGTCCTTGTACAAAAGTTTTTTTTACAAAACCTTGCTTATGCAACAAACTCTGAAAGCTAGGATGGATCACATAAACTAATGACTGAAACAGCGAGAAATATTAAAACAAAGTCGACTGGAAAGAAAAAAGAAGAAAGTGTAAGCTATCTCATAGCAAGAACAACTGACTTGGAAAACAAATTAAGGAGAAGACATTTTAAGAATCTTTGGCATATCTGAAAAGATATCTTGGAGCCAGTGGGCAAAATGAAAATTTTGTGAAAAAAATGAAGTGAAAAAAGTGAAAAAAAAAATCTACCAATCATCTAACTCTTAAAGGAAACCTCAGAAATAAAACTCCAAGGAATATTATAGCCAAAATCCAGAGCTTCTACATCAAAGAAAAAAATACTTCAGGCAGGCAGAAAGAAAGAATTCAGGTACTGAAGAGCCACATTGTACACAATTTAGCGGCTACTACTATAAGTGGAGAACTTGGAATGTGATATTCCAGAAGGCAAAGGATATAGATGTACAACCAAGAATAACCAGCAAAACTGAGTGTAATCCTACAGGAGAAAATGGAGCTTTAACTAAGTAGAGTTATCCCAAGCAATCCTGATGAAAAAACCAGAGTTATTGAGAAACTCAGAAGTGTAAATACCGGAGTCAAAAAAATGCAAAAAGGTAAACGTTTAAAAAAAAAAAGGATTGAAAAAAGATAAATTGTTTGCATTCTAAGATGATACATGATACATTCTAAGGTGATACATTTTGAGCCCTGCCATCATCAGAGGTCATAGAGGGAGTCTGATTAATTAGACAAAAGACCTGAAAGTAGTTATTTTATGAATGGTTGATCTTAAAAGAAGAATGAAAAGGGAGGCAAGGAGGAATATACTAGGGAGAGAAAGAGATAGTGAGTTTAGAGAGCAGCTAACACTTGACACTTACTCTCAGTTGAAGTTGTCAGAGGCAGAAAGGGTACACACACACACACACACACACACACACACACACACACAGAGACTTGGGCACAGTAAAACCATTTCACAAAATAGAGAAACCGGAAAAAATGGGTGAGTAGAAAGGGGAAAATAAGAAGGAGGGTAGGTTAAGAGTGGGATTAGTCCTAAGCCAAAACAAACTCTTAACTAAGGATGCACATATTTATAGCACCTCTCTTTGTAGTGGCAAAGAATTGCAAACTGAAGGGATGCCTATCAGTGGGGAGTGACTGAATAAGTTATGGAAATTAATACTCTTGTGCTGTAAGAAATGATAAAGAAGATGGTTTCAGAGAAACCTGGGGAGACTGGTATCAACTGATGCATAGTGAAGTGAGCACAACCAGGAAAATAATTTATACAGTGACAACAATATTGAGAAGACAAACAATTTTGAAAGAATAGGAACTTTGATCATAGTAATGACCAACCATTCATATTCTCATTCACTCTCACTCACTCTCCCCCTACCCCCTCCAGTGTGGAAATTTGTTTTGCTTGACCATACAGGAATTTTATGGTTTTATTTTTCTTTCTTTTTCAATTAGACAGGAGGGGGCAAAAC